GAACCCGCGACCCTCAGATTGCGAGTCGATCGCCCTAACCACAAAAGCCAGGTATTAAAATCAAGAGCTTTATTACTAACACTTACCCCACTGAAAATAATAACGATGAAGTAGTCTACAAAATCAAATGCAGTTCAGTTAAACACTTTTATGTCAGAGAAACCGAGAACGAGACAAACTTGAGACTTAAGAAACACCTTAAACGACCTTCACGTGCTTGTGAACGTCTTGAAGAAACAAACATATTAACACTGAAAACAACGATGAAACCTGCCGAAGAAGAAAAACAGCTGAAGTACTATTGATAAAGTAATCGTTAAATAAATATCCAGGAAAATACTTTTTTTTATATATTAATATCTTATCTACTTCATTTTATTAAAAAAAAAAACTAATTTAACGCCACTTACAAACTTGTCCTTACCATCGCGAGTCTGTAACGTTCTCTGTAATTCAAAACTTACCTGTTGTAAAAGTTGCTTTTATTGCATCTTTGAATTAATGGTTTACTTTACTAGACTCCTTAATAAAAATCAAACGCCATATTTGGATCATATCATCTCCTTTATCTGGTTTTAGTTGTTTGTTTTTGTTAAGCGCAAAACTACACAATGGGTTATCTATGCTGTGTCCACCGCAGGTATCGAAACCTGATTTCTAACGTCATAAGTCTTCAGACTTACCGTTGAGCCGCGGGGTGGTGGGGCTTTAATATATAGCAGTGGTCAACACCACCCACTACCATCTCTTGGGCTACTCTTTTATCAACGAATAGTGGAATTGACCTTCACATTATAACATTCTCACCGCCGAAAGAGCGAGTACGTTCGGTGTAAAGAGGATTCGAACCCGCAGGTCGATCGCCCTAACTATCAAGCCAGACCGCCGACAAATATGGATTGAATTAAAAACTCACACATATATACAAGGATCTTCAAGAACACACAGAAAATAAATATTACACTAAAAAATATTTCCGGGACATAAAAATAGATATATCACGGCATTTGTTGTTTGAAGTCGTTCTTAAACAAAGAAAACGGTGCTGCTACCTAACGGCAAATTGAAATACTACGTTTATCGATAGTCCTATTGACCAACGTCTGATGGCAGAAATTAGCCCGTTTCATGCCAAGGACATTAGCCGTTTTCATTCAAGTAAACCCCTGTTTTGTTACAAATTATTTACAATAAATTATAGTTAACTTTAAACCCACGAGTACGTCGCTAGCTAGTCAATTAAACTACTTTGCTAACACTAACAAATACTAAATAGTTTTACTCAAAACTTTGTTAAATCTGATAATACTACAGTCTCGTTTTCTTTCTTTCTTTTCATTTATATTAGCTTTTATTGCACTTAAGCTTCGTATATTTATGATTTACTAGCAGAGACCCGCAAAAGATTTCCCGCCAAATTAGTATCTTAATCGTAACAGTATTTCTTTAAATATAACATTTCTAGCACAATACAAACG